CCTCTGGCCCCCTGCTGCCCAGCCTCGTAACCCCCCGGGGAAAGAGGGTGCAAAGGTGTCAGCTGGCAGAATGGCATGAAGAGAGCAGCCGTAATGGTGACTGCCCTTGCCTCCCATGCTGAAGCCACTCTGCAATTCAGCAACAAGGGGCAGGGCCACATCAGCCCTCTCTGCCAATCAGTGGCCAGTAGCAGGGCCCTCGGGCCAATCAGCAGCGAGGGGCAGATCCACAGCAAAATGCCCATGAAATTGACTCTGCACACTGTGAATGGGCCACGAAAAACCCTTTGTCTTGCTCCTATTTAGATAGGTCCCTAGTCATATGTTTAACTTGAAGCACAGGAATACTCCTGAGAATATCCTGTATGGTAGTATGTTACAAATATGGTATGCATATAATACTGTAAGATGATAGCCTTATATTTTCATTTTGTAAGTTGTTAATGTACTGGAAGAAGACAATTTTGTGATGCTAATGCCTGTTGTAAAAAATGGGCGAGTATTTTTCTAATTTAGTAGCATACTGCCTCGGCCATTTTGGACTGTTTTTTCTTTGCTCTTGAATGTAGTCATACCCTTAACCAAGTTTTCCAGGCTGGCATGTCTATGGCCTTCTCCAGAGGTCAGACAAGAAGTATGACGAAGCTATCAAATGTTACAGAAATGCACTGAAATGGGATAAAGACAATCTTCAAATTTTGAGAGACCTCTCTCTGCTACAGATTCAAATGAGAGATCTTGAGGGTTACAGGGTAAGTAGAGTATCTAATATGAAAACATTGGTAAAGGATTCATGAGTAATATTTTGGTAGGATGTTGTTAAAAATGTAAGGTACTTAAAGAAACTTGCTTTAGTTTCTTCTGCTTCATGACCATACAAATCAAGATATTAAAACCCTTTCATGCTCAATGCTTTATTTTGTACTTGGATATAGAGGCACTGCCTTAGCTTCCATAGAATTTGAAGATTTATTAAGATACATATACTGGCTTATATTAGATCATTCAGTGTAGAGCTGTTCTTTAAAGTACATTCTTCTTAATGTTGACTAGTGCAGATGTAAATAATAAGAAGTTGCTTTTGGGGACCATTTTTGGCTGAACAGAGTTTTACTTTTTAGAAAGACTGATATTCAGCCAGTGTGGGTTTTTTGTTTTAACTAGTTAGTCTCCATATAAGCCTCTAAATATTTCTTTTCCTCCTTGGTTTGTTATTTATCAAAAGTTTGTGACGTTATCCTCAAATTAAACTGCGTGTAGTTGAGTGTTTCTCAACCCAGGGGTTGCAACCCAAAAGTGGGCCACAAGAGTATATGAAAGGGTCACAAACAAATTGTAAAAATAGATCAACAAGCTAAAAATCAATTCTCCTTTAAAGGAGAAAAATGTGGGAAACTGGCTTTTGCCTTGCAGGCTGGCAGAGTCTGGGGCCTGGGAGTTGGGGGGGCAGCGGGTCGGGAGTAAGGGACACTGGGTCAGGGCTGGCCATCGGTGTTTACAGATGGGTCCTGGTACAAAAAAGGTTGCGAACCACCAATTATAGCTCACTAGTCTAGTTGTAACTTTTTTACTTGGTTCCTGCCAACTCCGATCATATCTGTTGCTTTTTCACACTCCTGTTAGTTTAATAGTTTGATAAGATCCTACTTAAAATGTTTGCTCAGTTTTAAGTGGCTCTGGTGCTTTTGCAGTGAGGGATTCACCCTCTCTTCTCTGTGATGTCTGCAGATACCTTCCAAAATTGAATGAGCCTTTTGTCCTAACCTAAATTTGCATTGGAAATTTTTGTGCATAATTTGCTGTGATCCTGGTATTAACAATTACTAGCTTCTGTCTCACTGGTGAAAATAATTGCATTAAATACCTCTGACAAACATTGGCTCAAAGTTGATTTTTTTCATTTGCATGCTTACTTATGTAGCTCCTCTTGTATTTTGCATGTCCTAACACCCTCAACTTCTCCCAGTTTTGAATGCCATTAAGGCAGATTAATTTTAAAATTGGACCTAACAGAGTTCCATACGTTTATTTAATAGACATGTGTCCTAGTCTGTGTTGCTTTTCATCAGTACCCTTTGCTCTTGTTTTTTGTAATCCTTGCTGTTTAACTGCTCGTATCTGTTACTATCTAGGTATTTAGTGCCTCCTTAATATTTTAAATTACTTCCAGATATAGTTTCAACCCCCCCTCCCAAAAAAAACAAAACAAAAAAAAAAAAAACTCCCTTAGGATTTGCACAACTAGATTCTCATTAATTAATTGCCTTTGGTGACTGCAGTTTTTACTATATTCTGGCTAAGTTATGGATGCTACTTGTATAATCTGTTCTTAATACCATTGCATCCCCTGGATTGGATGGCATTTCTAATGACTGAATGCATACTGACTTGAAGTATTATTACTGTACTATAATACTATTCCAGTGTCTTGAATGTAAACAGCCTGAACTATGCTCTTTATTTAAGTTTTGAGTTAAGGAAAACATATCTTTTAATACTGTCATTAATGTTAGTCTAGCTCTTAAATTTCTGTATCTGTGCCTTGTCCAGCATAGTCTAAGAGTTTAAATGGCAAAACAACTAATTGTTCCTTCTACTGTCCATTTTTAAGTAAGATTATTTAACATTAATCATATTAAAGCAGTGATATTCTAGAGAGGACTCTAATGCCTGTCAGAATTAACAACAAAACTAAGTTATTACTGTTTTATAGGAAACAAGATACCAGTTACTTCAGCTGCGGCCTGCACAACGAGCATCATGGATTGGTTATGCTATTGCTTACCATTTGCTGGAAGATTATGAAATGGCAGCAAAAATTTTAGAGGAATTTAGAAAGACACAGCAGGTATGAAAAATAAGATGGACTTCCAATAGCGAGCCAAAAAAGTATCTTTGAAACATACAAACAATTCTGTGTTAGTTAGATGTTTAAAACCAAATGAATTCGTTAAAATGTATTATAAAATAATGACCGCTTGCACATTTTGTTTTCATGCACAGACTTCTCCAGATAAAGTGGACTATGAGTACAGTGAGCTGCTTTTATATCAGAATCAAGTCCTTCGGGAAGCAGAACTCTACAAAGAAGCCTTGGAACACCTTTGTACCTATGAAAAACAAATATGCGATAAACTGGCTGTTGAAGAAACTAAAGGTAATTAACTTTTCCGCGTACGGTTATATTGTATGCCAGTATATAACAGCATTATGGAATCTTATGTGGTTTCTGTAGACTTGAAATGGCTTAAGAAAATGGTGTTTTGTTTTTTTCTTCAGTGAATTATAAGACTAAGTCAATTGAGCTAGTGTAGCGTCTAATAAAAACAAGGTTTAACATCTAAAAAGTATTTTCACTAAAATCTAATGTTTTTATAAATATTTTTTGTAGAATTTGCACTATATTCATTTGCAATAACAATGTATTAGTGCATGTGTTGACAATTTATAATTAAGTCTTTTCTACTGCTGAAGCTGAGAAGTGAACGAGTGAAATAAGTTTAGTAGTGGGAGGAAATGCATCTTTATATTTACTTTTCATAATATAATGTCCTGTTAAAATTGTTATGGAACTGTTCTGAATTATTTGGAATAGATTTTGCTTTTTAAAAGTACATTGTAAACTTGAAGAAAAATTCTTTTCCATCTGAAACTGTTATAAATATTCCCTAAGAGTCCTCAAATTACAAGAGGTTAGAGAGAAAATATTTGATCTGTACATTAATAGCACCTTGTGTTGAGAGTTGCTATGGGGGAGGTGATAGACTCCCTCCAAGCATTTCCTCTTAGTCTCTTATGGAAAGTATCAATTCTTTCTCCCTCCCCGTTGAAAATTTTCCTTCCTCTCTCCTCTTATCACCTCCCTTTCCCCCCCTCCCCCCCCCCAAGATCCCAGGAGAATTGTAAAGACTCTAGCTATTCTACCAGAAGTCACAAGAAAAAACCTAAATGCCTGGACTAGCTCCAAATGCGGAACCAGGCAGGATTGGGATATGGACTAACAAAGGTTTCCTTGAGTCTACCACAGTAATCCAGTGTGCCCTGGTTTCTATCCCACCTTTTTCGAGAAGAATGAATAGAAAATAATAAATCCCATCAAATGGGTTAGAACAGGGGTTGGAAACCTACAGCCTGCAGGCTGGATTTGGCCTGTAAAGAGATCTGATCCAATACGGGGGATCATTGGCATGGGGCTTCGCTGTGCTGCCCATCCCTTCTGCAGTACTCTGGTTGTCTGCAGAACTGTTGCTTCCTATGTCTGCGCTTTCTTTATGGCAGAAGGGGTGGGGAAGTGCAGGCATCTGGCTCCTCTGGTTATGGAGACTTCAGGCCTGTAGCCACAGCTGGGTCGCAAGTTCTGAGCCATGCCAGCAAAAGGCTGATGATCCACGGATTAGAATACTGCTTTCAAAATCTAACTTATTGGTGAAGAGCCTGCTTTTTCAGGAGAGAAGCCTAAGTAGCAGGTAAACTCTTGTGGAAAATCTGTAGCAAACTACCAGAACAATTCCTATTCTCACGGAGGTCTCACGGGCCTCAGGATCAACAAGAAAAGGCCCATTGTAACCACAGCTCTGTTCGCGAAGATCATTGGAGTATTTAAGATTGCCCTCCAGATTGGTGAGGCAATATCTGCCTCAGCATCTCCAGGAGATGGTAGATCCCATCCCATTTCTAATCTCCATGTACAACCCAGCATGTCAATGTGAATCTACCTCAGCTATGCTGAGTACATCACTTTGCACTTATGACAGTTCATATCAGTCCTGACCTGCCTCAGTTACAAAGATGGCTGAGATTTGTGCCAACAAGCACATCATAAATAGTCCTGTCATATTGGGTGGTTAAGTTGATGGACAGATCTGGTAAAGGTTTGCAGTGCCTCTTTCTACCAAGACTCTTTAGTTCTGGGGTGCATCATTTGGATTTAGAAACTGCAGTTTCTTCATAAAGCCACGCTGTAGACAGGCTTCTTGAAGCTCAGGGTCATAAGGGTAACATTCAAGGTTTTCTTTCTTTATCCTTGAGAATCTAACCATATAAGAGCATAGATGATGGAACTCAATGGACACTTAGAAAATTTCAGATGACACCAAGTTGGGTGGGGTTGCAGACACTCTGGAAGGTTGGTCTAGGACAAAGGTAGGCAGTTATTTTGGCTGGAGGGCCGCTTAAGTTTTGGCAAACTCTCAATGCTGCATTGGGTTGCTATGCCCTTTGACAGTTGCCCCAGCCCCTAGTCGCCATACTGGGACCAAAAGTCCCGCCTCCTAACCCCTGACCTTTGCTGCCAGAAGCCCCTCCCCTTGACCCCCCATAAATTATTTTTTGTATGGAGTTGCCATCTTAGAACCAAAAAATAAATAAAAATCATAACACTGGAAGTATGACACCTGCCATGACACATTTGAATTTTATTATAAAAAATATCTGTCATGATTTGTATTTGCGTACTGTATATATAAGTTTAGGTTTGTTAATAGATGCATTCCTTCTAACATGGGCTATTGCGCTGTTAAATGCCATCCATCCAATTCTTGTCATTTTCTGAGTTATCAAGAAAATCAAAAAACACTCCATTGTTGTCCCATTAACCCCAGCTTGGGACATGGAGTTTTGGTACTCTGACCCATCTGTCATTCTACCACTACTTCCTGACTTAGTCTCCCAAAACTACAGCCAGTTGCTGCCCTGTAGAACCACGCCTGGCTGGATGACTCCTCTGTAGAGACTAGCTGAGGAGCAGGATTTTTCCTGCAAGGTAGGGAGCTTTCTATTCATCTTGTTTCTGCAATGAAGTCAGAGAGAATCTCTGGACAAGCCAGTAACAACTCTGCTGTTTTCTCCTTAAATTCTATCTATCCTGGATTATTTGCTGTCTTTCCTGAAAGAGGTCTGGTCTCTCTCTATTAGATGAAAATTTGTTGCATGAAATAAATGGGACTTTGACTAAATACCTCAAAAATTATAAAGCAGCTTACCTTGTCTGTTCAGAATAATGTTCTATTTGACCATCCTGAAATGTCAACTTTCTTTTATGGGCTTTTTTTCATGGTTTTTTGCCAGGTGGGAGCTGTCCTGTTATTGTGACTTCAGTTCGGCAATACCAGTTTAGTGGAGGTCCCCATTTGATCCCATGGCTAACTGCTCCCTCCTACCATGTTTTTGGAGGCCAGTAAAATAAAGACCCTATGATACAGTCTCCATATGCTTCGTAAGTAGGGTGACCATATCATTCTGAAGAAAATCAGGATGGGGTAAGACACATACTTATGCACACGCATGCAGCCAAGCGATGGCTGGTGCCAGAGCAGCAGCAGAAGCATGAGCCTGCCTAGGCCTGCAGCATGCTGTGACCCCTCACTACCCCTCCCAGTACGGGCACCTTCTGCCCATGTCCACGCTTGGAGTATATGGCTGGGCCAAGCGAAGCCAGTGAGCATGGAGCCCCTTTCCCTGGCACCAGCTGCAGCTCCAGCTTCTCCACTCCCCAGCACCAATTGGCATTGTTGAAGAGTCTCCACTCCCCAGCACCAATTGGCATTGTTGCTGTCTGAGCACTCTACAGACCCCACCAAGTCATGCCCCTGCACAATCATGTGCATAACCGCATGGCTCCCAGGAGCTCTGATAGCTGTGTGAGGTGGGACAGCTCAGAGCCCTGTGACCAGACTCCAGTCCCTGTGGACAGGGGCTGGGAGCGGTGCCTTCTGGTTTTCACCAACCTGCGCTGCCCCGCATAGCTACCTGAGCCCCCACCCCAGGTAGGAGGAGCAATGCTTAGTGCAGCTCACCTTCCACCTCCAACTGCTGTGCAGGAGGAGCCTGGCTGGGCAGGTGTAGGCAGGGTGGTGCCAATCCAGGACTTGCCACCAGCCAGGATGCTTGGAGGTCCTATGAAATCCAGGACTGTCCTGGCCAAACTGGGACATATGGTCACCCTATTTATAAGGGCATCCTTCAACTATATTCTAAGTTGGTCTTGTATTACTGCCTTAATTCCTAGGTCTTATTGTTTTCTTCATAAAGCCTCACTTTATGCCACGAAATAATACTTTATATTCATAGTTACTTGCAGTATTTGTAGTCAGGAACCCATCTTTACTTAGACCAGTGGAGCTCAACCTCTCTGGCCCCCTGGCTGGGTCCTATGTGTTCGGCTGGTCTGTGGGCTGGATCCCACACGAGGTTAGCATGTGGGGTCAGTCTGCAGGTGGCCACAGAGTGGCTGCACACCAGTGTGATTTGGCACATGGAGCTGTATTATTTTGACTGTAGGGCTCCCACAGGCCTGGAGATTTGGCAGCAGGGGAGCAATGGCAGTGTTAATTGCCACAGCTCTGGGAACAACTACTGCTGCTATCATTCTCCCACTGCCAAATTTCCAGAGCTGTGGGGAGCCTGGCTCTGCTGGCTGGATTTGGTCCCTGGGACAGAGGTTTAGCACCACTGATTTAGACTATCCAGTCCTTGATAGTAACATGTGGTAGTAAATGTGTGCTGGTATGTGTGCAAGCAGCTTCCATGACTTATCTCATGGCTAGCTCCCACTACCTGAAGTTTTGTCCCGTCTCCCACTCTTCCTTGGTGCAAGCTTTTTCCATCAGATGCTCACTTCAGTAAAGAGGCCCTGCAGTCACTTTATTAAGTGAGAGTCCTCTACAGCCAAGGGAACTGCTTGGTAGCAATCAACAGAATCCCTGTGGACAGCTACACAAGAGTGGTCAGTTACCATCCAATACATTGAGATGCATTGTCTACAAAGATTCTGCAACCTATTCTTCATGGCAGCATTTTGGGGTCCCTATATCAAGGACTTCTGCTATGGAGGATGTAAACTGTTCTTGTGGTTTTTCCCATGCTACTTTTGGTTTTGGTAGCCTATAGATAGGGACCTACCACATTCACAGTGGAAGTAGAGTGTGCAGCAGCTCCTTTAATCTTTCATGTTCCTTGGTGTGCACCTTCTTCCCTCACCCCACTGCTGATTAGCAGTGGGCCCCACTGCTCCCTCCTGATCTGCAGGGAAGCTATAACCACAGTTTTAAACTTGGCACCATTTTTGCCTCCCTGCCAGTCAGCAGCAAACAGCAGAGCCATCCGAGGCCCCTGAGCTAGTCAGTGGCAGGAGGCAAAAACAGCACCATATTTAAAACCACAATTTTAGCCTTCTCGCTGATCAGAAGCGAGCTGCAAATGGGGCTCCTCCACCAGTCAGTGGAGGAGGAGGTCATAGGGGAACCTGAAGGATTAAAGGAGCCACAGCGCACCCTACTTCCACCGTGAATTTGAAAGGTCCCTACCTGTAGAGTGTGAGGGAGTTTAGACATTCCTGCAATGACTATTGCTGTTCAAAAACAAGCTGTTTTTTTGTTTTTGTTTTTTTTACACACCAGACTTGTGCCTAGAGTGGAATCTGTGTGGGTAAGACATCTGTAGGAACCAGTTTTTAAAGTGTATGTTCTTTTAATGGCACACTGTGTATTTCAATTGTGCTGTGAACAGAGAAGCAAATGTTTAAACAGTTGAATTGGTTAAATTGACCAGGATTAAAACTATCCCTCTAATCATTGCAGAACACTTATTCAGATACTTTCTAGCTGAGGTGGTAAGTGGCAGCCCTGTTGTGTAAGCTCCTTGTCTTAAAGAGCTTATTCCAAAAAATTTATCACAATTGTAGAGGAGTATGAAACTATATGGATGATGCTATTATGGATCTCATGTAAATTCTGGTGCTTAATAGGGCTGTGTGAAATTTCGCTGGCTGTTTTGTTTCAACACTGTTTCAACTCATTTTGTTGTTTTGAGCTTGAAATCGAAAGGAAAGAAAGGGCTTCAAAACAGCCTCAAAACAAAACAAGGCTAGTTGAAACTTTTCAAAACAGCCAGCAGCCAGGTGGTGGGAGACACGGGAGAACCCAGCTGCTCCGCAGCCCCATGTGGCTCAGCTGGCCAGGGAGCACAGCCCTGGCTCTCCCTGCCTCCTGTGGCCAGCCTGTGGGAAGCTGATCGCAGCGCAGGGGAAGGGAACTGAGCCCCGTCGCTCAGTTCCCCTCCCCAGAACTGTTATCGGGCTTGGGAAAGGAACTGAGCTCAGCTGGGATGTGTTGCCTTCCCCAGCGCAATCAGTAGCCCTGGGGAGGGGACCTGAGCAATTGGGCTCAGTTCCCTTCCCCAGCTCCCTGGTCCCAGGCTACTGGCTTCCCTCCCTTATCTGGCAGGCAGATCGGGGCCCGCAGCCCCTGCAGCCCTCCCAGGGTTGCAGGCCCCTGATCTGCCTGCCAGATGAGAGAGGCTGTTTCGAGCTTCCCCATTATAGCCTATGGGCGAAATGTCAAAGCGTCACTGTTTCAATGCAACGAAACAGAACAGCGGTTTCAAATCGAAACAAAATTCAAAACGAAATGCTGTTCCATCGAAACCTCAAAACACAAGTCAAAACAGAGTGGTGCTGTTTTGCACAGCCTTAATGCTTAATTACTATACCATCTTCTTAAAAAATAATGTCATGGTGGGTAACCAACTTTTACTTAGCTGCCACAATCTAAGATGGTGATTCTCAACCAGGGTGCCAGGGTATGCTGGAGATGCCTTAGGGAGTGTGAGGAAATGAACAGATAAGGGCAGGCTCAAGCTTCCTACTTGGCTCCTCTGCAAGGAGGTAAGCACTGCAATAAATTTAGTTTTTGAAAAGGAGTGCCACTTAGTTCACAAGTTGTGGAGGAGTGCCTCTAGTCGAAAAGGGTGGAAAATCACTCTTCTAGATCTAGGGCAGGTACTTCCAGTAGTCTGCTCAAGAACAGCAGGAGTCCCATAATTAGCCAAAATAATTCAGTATTGTAAAACTTAAATACTGCAGTAGTTCTACAAGACAGCAGAGCTTTGAAATTGTGAAGAAAATACTCTCTGCCCCTGAGGTCCTTCAAACATATTGTTATTGAAGATGCTGTTAGACACTGACATTGTATAGTTAAGGTCCAGAACTCGGATCTGTACCTGCTTACATACTTAGCCTTCAGTAGAGTGGCAATTTTATTGAACCCAGGATTAAATTTAAGGATGTACTTGTTGACAAAACCTAAGTCAGGAAATGCCAAGGTTAATTAAAGCCTGTGTAGCTCTGTCCCTTTATGAATATGTTTATGTAGTCCTTTAATTACATATTCACATAATGTTTTAAGCATATTGTATCACTCTTCTGAAATAGGGCATGCATCTAAAACATCTGTAATACTGTGTGTACACTAGGCAGATTTTGCACAAAGCACTGGATTTGAAGCTTAAACTTCTAAATTGGAGTTCTTCCACAAAATTCTGAGATATTGATCAGATTAATTAACCTCTGTTTTTCAGCCCCTTTATCTGTCAAAGGGAGGCTGTTATTGTTGTTTTAGATGGAAGTGAGCGCTATAGAAAAGTCTACTGACATATGAAAAGGACATAATGAAACTTTTTATGAACGGAATATGAAAACTGAGTAACATGCTTCCATTTATAAATTAGAACTGAATTGACAATTAACACTTTTTCATGGCCTCATTATTTTCTGGTTCCATCATTCTGATGGGTTGGGTCAGTGTTGTTTCTTCTTGGCATCAAATCATGTTGGTGTCAACTTTATGAAAGACTCTAGACTAAATTAAGTTTTCTGTAACAAATGCTGCCTTTTGCTAAAGTTGTGTACTCTGTTTTCATGGTGGGATAGAGGAAAGGTAGGTGAGATTTTATCATCTTGTTTTTAGAGCAAAATGCACTAAGTTAGTGAAAATCTAATTGAACTGACTCCCTTGTAATCACTAGTTCCCATCTTCTGTATTCAGTCAGACTAGCTTACTACATAAAATCGCTTTTAATTTGCTTAGCACTGCTGAGCCAATGTTACCATGAAATAACTATTTGGATTCTCTTTTGGCTTGCAGATCAGCTGGCATGTTGGTTCAAATTCTTTCTTAGTTACTACCTCCATATAGCCAAATTTATATGACAATAAAACTGAGGATTTACCTGGAGAATCTTACTGAGAACTGTCAGTCTAACTTGTGAATTTGCATATCTTTTGTTAGCTTTACTAAGCAGTGTGAAAAGCCATCCTTGAATTTCAAATTAAATGAACAGTGTTATAAACATAGAGCACCTTGTACCATCATTAATTGTTTTTTGTAGTTAAAATTGGATAGTTTTGGTTTGGTCTTAATCAACATTTTTATTTAATATTTTTGTTCTTTACTTTTAATTGTGTCTGACTCCTTTCAGAAGCCTGTAGCCAGCAACTCATTAAAAGTTTTAGTTATGTCATGAGCCAACAAGGTTTCATAGTTGTTAGGGTCAGAAGGGACCTCAGTAGATCATCAAGTCTGACCCCCTACCCTGGGCAGGAAAGAGCACTGGGGTCACATTACCCCAGCCAGGTGCTTGTCCAGTCTCTTCCTAAAGACCCCCAAGGTAGGGGGTCCACCTCTCTTGGAAGCCCATTCCAGATTCTGGCAACCCTTACCATAAAGAGGTTCTTCCTGATGTCCAACCTAAATCTGCTGTTCATCAGTTTGTGGCCATTGTTCCTCGTTATTCCAAGGGGTGCCCTGTTAAACAGAGCATCTCCAATTTCTTACTGACCCCCCCCACCCCTGATGAATTTCTTCATGGCCACAAGATCACCTCTCAGCCTTCTCTTGCAGAGGCTGAAGAGATCCAGGTCCCTCAGTCTCTCCTCGTAGGGCCTTACCTGCAGGCCCCTAACCATATGAGTGGCCCAAATCTGCATCCTCTCAAGGTTATCCACATCTCTTTTGGTGAATCTGATATCTTTTATTAGACCAACTTAAATAGTTGAGGAAAATTTTTTTTAGAAAGCTTACTGACTGCCTGTCTGGCATGCATACAGCCCAGCCTCTGGCTTCTTTACTAGTCATTCCATCCAGGAAGAGCACACACCAACTGCAGAGGCTTCCTCAGCCTGACGAAGGGTTTTTAAACCTGAAAGCTTGCTAAAAATGTTTTTTCCAACTATTTAAGTTGGTTTAATAAAAGATATCAGATTCACCCAAAGAACCTTGTCTGCTCTTGTGCTTAGACCAACATGGCTACAACCTACACTCCTGTAGTTATGTCATGGAAACTTTTATCTCAAAATTTGACTTTATTATCAAATGCATGTGTTAGTTCATAGTGCCAGTTATGCAGTATATCTCTACCATTCTAAATTCATCTCTGTAGTTTGAATTTATTTTTTAAAAGAGAGAGAGAGAAATGCTTACTGACACATGTTTAGCTGGTGCCTTCTTCCTCACATTGTCTGTATACCTTTATGAATTTTAAACAGGAGAACTTCTGTTACAACTCTTCAGGCCAGAAGAAGCAGCTGAGGTGTACAGAGGATTGCAAGAAAGGAATCCTGAAAACTGGGCATACTACAAAGGCTTAGAAAAGGCACTGAAACCTGGTAATGATTCTTGCTGTAACAGGAGCATCAAAGCTATTTTTGCCCAGTTGGGATTTACCTATACGCTGAAAACTTCTAATCCACTTTGAGACTTGTAGTTTAGCTTTTGGTTTTTAAAAGTAATGGCATATTTTTGTCATTGTAACTTTAGAAGACTTTCATGACTTTGTTCTTTGGTGTCCTGTCTGTGTTCATCTAGTAAAAAGGAATATGGCAGATCAGTAAATGTCATCTGCTCACACAAACAGAAGGGCTATGAATACACTCTAAATGGTAGAAAGAAGGCAAAGTTCTTTGTGTTTTTTTGTTTTGTTTTTTATTCTGTTGTTTGGTTTTTTTGCTTTGTGGTTTTTGGGATTTTTTTTTGGTTTTTAAAGAATAGACTGTATTCATTTAAAAAAAAATTCCTGTGTTTCTTTGTCATGGTATTACAGGTATGTAAATATCAGACAGAAGTATGAACTTTTTGTCAGTTCATTTACTTCATGTTTGAAATACCTGTCAAATACAAAGTCTACTTCATGGCTCTTCTTGTATAGTTATATTTGATTTGATCTTTAACACAGGAATGGGACAGATAAACCTTTTATAAAAAAAGGGAAAATGCTTCTTATTGCCAGCTGGCAGAAAAACTCCCTGATGCTGTCTTGCCTAAAGCTGTCTTTTTCTGATTTTTTAAATGAACTGAGTGCAAAATATCTTTCACTTAAATAAACATATAGTCACTACTTTACTGCATAATTCTGGGTTTTGTTTAATCAAATTTTAGTTACCCAAAAACCTTAGTGGCTTACAAACTTTGTTTTATTCTAGCCAATATGTTGGAGAGGTTAAAGATCTATGAAGAAGCCTGGACTAAGTATCCGAGGGGTCTAGTTCCGAGAAGATTGCCATTAAATTTTTTATCTGGTAAGGGCATTTTTTGCAAGAAGATACTGCCAGTTTGCATCTACATATATATTTTATTTTTCTTAAAACTTCTACTAATAACATAAGAAATAGAATTGTAAAGTAATATTTGGTAAAACAAAATCAACAGGTCTTTTTTCCCCCAAGGTGAGAAATTTAAGGAATGCCTTGATAAGTTTCTACGAATGAATTTCAGCAAAGGCTGTCCACCTGTGTTCAATACCTTGAGATCACTGTATAAAGATAAAGAGAAGGTAAACAAATCTGTGAACATTTTGATAGTTCATTTGTGTTATAGCTATAGAAATGAAAACAACTTTTTTTTTTCCTGACAAGATTTAGCCTCATTTTTGGCTTGAGATCTCAGTAGCTTTTTCCAGCACTATTGTATATTGTTACTTTTGTTGTTTGTGTGGTGTGGGTTTTTTCCTGTGATAGTTCTAGGTCATAAAAAAATCTAGTAGTATACTTTCTGCTTTATAAACTTCTGTCTTGTCTTTGTATAGGCGGCAATCATAGAAGAATTGGTGGTAGGTTATGAAACTTCCCTTAAAAGCTGCCGATTATTTAATCCAAATGGTAAGTGTGAAGGACTTCATACTCTGTGAAAATACTGTGCCTGTTATATGTAAAATTTGCTAATTTGGAGGTAGACACAAGTATTCTTGGGAAGAGTGAAGAAATGGGGAGAATCCTAGAAGCTTTTCTTAAATACGGACTGAAGTTTAGCCATCTTTTTTTTTTTTTTTTTTTTTTTTTTTTTTTTTTTTTTATCTTGAATACTGTAATGTTTCTACATCTTTAACCCTTATGTAATCATCCAAACTTCATAGCTTCTCTTGTAATTGGCAGTCTTCTTCCTCCAGTCAGTCTCCTTTTCAAAAGAATTTTTACCATGTAAAATATCAGAGATGAGAATCATTTATTGCTGTCTGCATAGGCTTGAGAAATTTTGATATCTGGGTTTATTACTCGAAGTCTATCATTTAAAAGAAAAAAAAGGGAAGGAGAGGAAAAACAGAGTATTTGGTAGACTTTCCTGGAAAGATTCCAATCGTCATTAAGGTATTTTCACTGAAATTACAAATACAACTTTCCTGGGTTTCAGAGGACCCATTATGGCACTTTATACTGTATTTACTCAAATACAAGACAATCCTGAATATAAGACAATCCCCCAATACTTAGATTCTATATATGGAAAATGTACAAGTTTGTTATAATTTTCCAAATATAGCATCTAATTATTGGAGGCTTGCCTTGAGATTTGCTACAGCAAGATAAATAAGTATAAAGGGTAAGGTAGACCCCTTGCCCTCTGTCCCTAAAATTTCTTCCCCTGGCAGCCCCCCTTGCTGTCAGACTATGTTCTCCCTGAACACAGAATTGAGGGGCAACTTTGAAAACACTGACTTTGAAATAAACATGCCTATAATAATTTCATATAGCTAACTCACTATGTGTACCAATAGACTTAGTTTATCCAGAATTGATGCGTTTTAACTTTTTTGGAAACTACATCAAGTTGTAACACAGGTATACCACACACTTTTGAGCAGCACTTTTGTACCTATATAATACAATCTTCATGTAGTTAGTTGGGCTGGGCTCCAGCAGTCAATAATGTTTCAAGCCATGGTGATGCACAGCTCAGCACTGACTCGGAGTGTGTGTGTGTACTCCAGTCACCCCTTCTCTTCCCTCCCCCTTCCCCAAAAGATCCATGTGCTAATTAGCCCCTCACTTATGACTGGTGTTCTTGTCAAAAATCCTTATATATGGGGGCTCGTCTTGTATTTGAATAAAGACAGTACAGTCTGTACTATCTTCGAATCCTTCTCAAGCTGTGAACAAAATTACTTTTCCTTGAAATTAAAATTGTTATTTGTTACAAGTTTGCATACAGAGTGTATTTAATTCAATGAAGTCTTGTGTATGGACAAATGTACAATCTAATTTAAGAAGCTTGTCTCATCATTCACTTCATCCGCCTTTACAGTATTAAGCTAAACTGGAATTCCTTAACTGAAACTGAATTAAATGTTTAAACACAAACTCGCACTGTTTTAAAAATTTAAATTGGTGCACATTTCTGTATACGTGTGCCTGAAGAAGCCTCTCTTCTTGGCTTTCACTGAAAATATTAGAGATTTCAGAATGAAATTAAAGTGCAAATGTAATAGTGTGTCACATCATGAAAAAATGTAATACTTGGGGAACTTCTGTTTGTCAGGCATTGGTCCCAAGTCAGCAGTGAGCTTAATTTTTCTTGTGTGAAGCAGCGAAGGCTATTCAAGTGCTTTCAAGATTGAATTCTTGCAGTATCATGGATCATGTGCACAGAGCTTTCAACAGCTATAATTTAAGGCTAATATGGAAAATTATAATCTTTCCAGTCTCTTGGTGCGCTGCATATACCGTGCGAGTAAATCTCCCATCACTTGTATCAGTAGTATATTCCTTGTGTTACGTTCTGGTAAATTGGAATATATTACAATTGTTTTTTCCACAGATGATGGTAAAGAAGAACCCCCAACCACTTTACTCTGGGTCCAGTACTACTTGGCACAGCATTATGATAAAATCGGGCAGCCATCTCTGGCTCTGGAATACATAAATGCTGCTATAGAAAGTACTCCAACCTTGATAGAACTCTTCCTTGTGAAGGCTAAAATCTATAAGGTAACATTGATCGACTTATTCTTGGCTGTCAGGTGGGGCTTCTTGTGGCAAGACCTTTCACCATAATTGTTACTGTCTTGTATTTTTTGGCATGAATATTAACTGAGGGAGGAGGGGGTTTTGCATAAGCAAAACCTTTGCAAAATCTAAGATCTAGAGAGAGGCTTCTACCATATTTTTTAATGGATTTTTAAAAAAAACATGCACATAGGAGTCTGTTTCAGATTGTAAATGGACTATTACCAAGAAAGTTACTACAGTGTACACTGTTAATTTCACAGTGGTGTTTAGGTCGTATACTGGGAAATCTAATATTGATACATATATTTTGAATAATGTCTCAACAACTGATCTCACCCAGCTTCTCTACTTACTCAAAGTTAGCTTATTGTACTGAGAACTTATTTTTCAAAGATGCAGTGGATTTGTCTTTTGCAAAGTATGGATTAAAAAGTCATCTTGATGTCCAGGCAGAATAAATAAGGGGACAGTAATGCCATAATATACAATTGCATTGCTGGGATCTTGATTTGTTTAACAGTCTTAAAGAGAAACACTTGGTGCCTGGCTTTATTATATTAATGAAGGGTGGATGAGTGAATAAAGGATAACTTGTATGCATTTTACAACTTCCTTACTTGATTTGTATTTCTTTTAAAGCATGCTGGGAATATTAAAGAAGCTGCAAGGTGGATGGATGAGGCCCAGGCCTTGGACACAGCAGACAGATTTATCAACTCCAAATGTGCAAAATACATGTTGAAAGCCAACTTGATTAAAGAGGCAGAAGAAATGTGTTCTAAGTTTACAAGGGTTTGTTCTGTTTACTATAGTTTTCAGTTAATAGATGTAGCATAATCACATGTAAAGTATCCTTATGGTGACTTGTTTTGGAATCTCTATTTTGATCATTTATAAGCTTTACTCCCTGCTGTCCTCCCTCTCACAGTTCAAACTACTCTGGTTGTTTACTTTTACTAGTATTGCTGAGACTAGATAATGAGTCCTTAGTTAAGATGATTCTTTTGCACTTAACACATGGACTTAACATCTGCCGTGTATGAAAATTATAGCATATGCTCCCCACAAGCACAGCACTTCAAATGGAGAGAGGATTTGCTAAAAACTTAAGTAAATTCAGTAAGTTTAACATTAACTCTTCAAGATTCCTTCAAGATACATAGGAATATCTCTTGAATCCTTTTTTTTCCCAGATCTCATAGTTTCATAGTTCGTAGGGTCGGAAGCGACCTGAGCAGATCATCATTAGATATCAGGAGGCACTACTTCACAGTCAGGGCGGCTAGGATCTGGAACCAACTTTCAAGGGAAGTGGTGCTTCCTCCTACCCTGGGGGTCTTTAAAAGGAGGCTAGATAGACACCTTGCCAGGGTTGTTTGACCCCAGCATTCTTTCCTCCCCACAGGGGGTCGGACTTGATGATCTGCTCAGGTCCCTTCCGACCCCTGCCAACTACGAAACTGTCAAGTTCGACCTCCTGCCGTGGGCAGGAAAGAATGCTGGGGTCAAACGACCCCAGGAAGGTGATTATCTAGCCTCCTTTTGAAGACCCCCCTGGGTAGGGGCGAGCACCACTTCCCTTGGAAGTTGGTTTCAGATCCCAGCTGCCCTGACTGTGAAGTAGTGCTTTCTGATGTCCAGCTTGAACCTACTCTCAGTCAACTTATAGCCGTTATTCCTAGTTACTCCTGGTAGTGCTCGGGGGAACAAGGTCTCTCCTGTTCCCTCAGGTTCTCTCCCATTCCCGGGATAACAGCCTTTCCTCATGGTTTCCATGTCATTGGTTGGGAAAGGGCCACTGAGGTCTGTTCATCTCTTTCAGTCCTCTGGTCAGTAATATCCTTCTATACCCCCTAGTCAGTGCTCTGTGCCTGATGACCTTCAAGGCAAGGTTCATTTTATTTGAGGTCTCAAGAGAAGTCAGAGTTAGGTGGAAGTAAAAATTTGCATTCTGCATGCTCATTTTATTTTGCCTTGTAACTTATGGCATGGACAAATATAGTTTTATGTGGGTTCTCATTTTTAATTTATAAAAAAAACTTGTAGAGTCAGTCAAAAGTCAGTGAAATCTTGTTGTATAAAATACATTTTAAGATTTCTTTTAAGCATGAGTAATCACTTGTTGCCATTTTTAAATAAAAGGTTATTTTGCAATATGGGCTGACATGCCGTTTTCACAGTATTCGCAAAGTATTGCTTTCTTTCAAAAGTGGTACAACCAATGGAGCTGTGTTGGCATTAGCCAGGATTTAGGTTGCTGTTATTAACCTGCTTCTCCCTTCCTTTTGGGAGACAGGAGAGAAAAAACAGGTGTGCCTAAGCAGAGGATGTATGGGGAAACAGGAAGAAGAATTTGGGGTGTATGCAGACAAGGCAGGAGCCTGAGAAGGGAGGGTAAAACTGGTTGATACACTCAGTTGTTTTGTGTTCTGCTGACAGGGCAGAGTTGCTGTAAACCCAGTTTAACTGGTCTTTAAGCTCCAGCTGCTTTGTAGAACTAATGTAGAGCAGCCAAACTGCACCAGTGAAGTGCACCCTGAAGTTAAATTTTTTAAAATACAATTTGAGGTTGATGCTGTACATATTCATGTATTAGAAACATATCATAGGAGCATTCTTTTTGGATTTTTTTTGGTCTGGATTTGATTTATGAAGGTTTTTAAAATTAAAAAAAAAAAAAAAGGAATTCCAAATGTAAAAATATGTAATGGTGGAGCTTCTTCCCTATTCACCCTTCATTACATCCATTCTGTGCCCTGATTTGATGAAGAGATCTTGTAAAAAAATAAATAAATAAATAAAAAAGTTTACGATCATGCCGTTAAAGACTTTAGTGAAATGTCTGTGTACCTAGGAGGCCAAATTAACAGGGAAACCTTAATTTTTGGTATTTTTCTATCATTTGAGTTGATGATTTTGAAAGCTGTTTTTCTTAACGTCATATTTGTATATGTACTTTTACATATGACATTTATTTTATACATCTTCAAAAATTGTGATGGTACTGCTTGTAATGTGACCTTTTTTTAAAATGACTTTGAAATATTTCTAATATTTCTATTTTTGCTTTTAGGAAGGAACCTCAGCTGTAGAAAACTTGAATGAAATGCAGTGCATGTGGTTCCAGACAGAATGTGCCCAGGCTTATAAAGCAATGAATAAATTTGGAGAAGCACTTAAGAAATGCCACGAAATTGAGAGAGTATGTACCTAGTAAACTTCAATCTAATATTTCTAGTTTAGCTTTACTGTAATGACATTTTTGCATCTGAACATCAATGTTTACATTTCGTACTTCTATAAATCTTTGTGGTTTGTAGCCTTACAAACCCTTGTCTAAACTTGTAACTGCTGTTATTTAAGATGCAGTCCTGCAAACTTAATCTTATTCATGTCAGTAGTGCAGGTGTGCTTGGTGGAAATATTATGAGCAGCATTAAGATACCTAAATCAGGGGTTACTTTACATGGATGTTCACAAACAAGACCATGTATAATGCTGTGCACAGTCCCAAAGTACCATAAAGTCTGATTGAGAGGATTTGCTATGCTTGTATTCCTACAGAATCAGAGACACGCAAGTTATTACAAGGCAACTAATTATATTAGTATCTTTTGATAACAATATAATTGTTATATATTTCCTTATCTTGAGAATATAGATAAATATGGGAGTTTATGGAGGAATTTCCATTGCTCCTGAAAGTCAAGTCTGTTTTTCATCAGATTTTTTTGATGCAAAGTACCAAAACTCTGACATTTTCGAGTTGACTATTGAAGATGGACTTTTCCACCCCCCCCTTACATTTTCTTCAAAAAAGTTAAATGTATGAAATGTTGTTTCTGTTTCTGAGTGCTTGCTAAATAACATTGTTTTGTGTTAGCATTTTGTAGAAATCACAGATGACCAGTTTGACTTCCACACTTACTGTATGAGGAAGATTACACTTAGGTCTTATGTGGATTTGTTAAAGCTAGAAGATGTACTTCGACAGCATCCATTTTACTTCAAGGCAGCACGAATTGCCATAGAAATATATTTGAAACTTCATGATAACCCCCTAACAGATGAGAATAAAGAACATGAAGCTGATACAGGTATAATACTGGATTTGTGTGTGTACTTCAACTGGCTGGTGAATATACTGTAAATACCTAGCTTTCTTGTTTGACATTTCCCAGTAAATTATTGCATAGTTATAGCATTTATCAGTCAGGAAGCCATTAGTTGGCCTGTAACAAGTAAATGATGATGCTCTGTTTAAAAAAAAAAAAAAAGTTACTGTGTATTCTATTTATGCAACACAAGTAGTAGCTAAATTCTGTTTTAATAGGGCAGGTATAAAATGGTCTTTTCTCTCTTCAAGAAATTCAAGAATAAAAAATATGCAAACAATTTTGAAAATGAGCAAGACCTGCTGTATTTCATTGTCTCTTTTTCTACCATAACAGATCTACAGGGTTGCACTTGAAGCAGCTCTCCTTTTAAGTACATTTTATTAGAATTCAGAGGCAAGTTGCAATTTTTTAGAAAAATTGAGTTGTGCCATTATTCTTATATATAAAGACTAAGACTGATATTTTAAGAGTAATAATAATGAAAAAAATTCTTTTACCTAGAGAAAAATTTGGGTGACTTGTTTTGGGGATTTATGGGGCAGAAAGGAGAGTGCTAAATCTTAAAAATAAAAGAGTTAAAAGAAGATTTCAAGAGTTCACTGAAATCTCTCCCTGTCTTTTTTTTACTTCGATAATTTGAGGGTCAAGATAAAAAAGGTGCAAATGCAGTAGTTATTTTTATTTTTTTCAGGTCACTTTTTTTCTTTTGATGTTCATTTTAAAATGGTTTTCCAGTGTGTGTTGATTATGAAGGAAATGTGAATTAAATGTAAAACGAGGCAGCATGATCTTAAACCTTCCTCTTAATCTGGGACATTAAAGGTTAGGCAGAATAACTGTATGTCAAGATTTAGTTTTTACCTCTTTTGCTGAAATGGCTAATTGTGTTAAGCTTAATTTTTTTCTTTAGTTGTTATAGCAGGGTAGACACTCCTTGGGTTCTGACTTCTGCAATCAACTTTAAGTCACTTAACATCTCAGCTCTCAGTGGGATCTTCCAGCATTATATGCTATACTACCTAGTTTAGGGGGTGGCCAACCACTTGCGGCACCCATGCCACAAGTGGGACACAGCAGATTGGACAGGGGACAGAAAGCAGAAGAGTGGGATCACAGTGGTACTCAGAGGGTACAGGCTTACTTCAGCACACTTGCCTAAAAGATTGGCCCCCAGTGGCCTAGTTCTTCCATTCTGTTGTGGCTAATCTATCAGTGCATGTAAATGAGAATCATTTCTGAATTCAGAAAGTAGCCATGGTAGGTGGCCGTGGTTTGAGGTAGGAACTTGTGTGCAGCTTAAATGTCATGATATTCTATGTATAATCTCGTTTTCTGTTGAAACATACTCTGTGTACAGCAAATATGTCTGATAAGGAGCTAAAGAAGCTACGCAATAAGCAACGAAGAGCACAGAAGAAAGCACAACTGGAGGAAGAGAAGAAGAATGCAGAGAAAGAAAAGCAGCAAAGGAATCAGAAGAAGAAGAAAGATGATGATGATGAAGAAATTGGAGGACCTAAAGAGGAACTTATCCCTGAGAAACTAGCAAAGGTACTTGCTTAGCACAACATTGAACATGGCTCAATGTACTACATTGAATATACACATAGAAGAGCTGTGCAAATAAAATGTAACAATATGTGACTTACATTTTTAAGTGCCACTGTTTCAAAAACCGGTTTCTGGGCCTCTTATCTCAGAATGCATTTAAGCAACAGATATTATGGAAGAATTACTTTAGTCTCTCAGCCTTCAAAGACAGCAGTACACCGTGCAACAGGAACTGTTTGGCACCTATTCCTTATAGGGTAGAAACATCTTTACTAGGTCACTAAATTAGGTCTGCCTTCAAGTTAAACAGGTTGTAAATCTCTGTATGCAAGAGATTAATCATTATGTTCTTCATTACACATAGTAATATGCATGTGTTTGAGTTGCACAGCATTTGTGCAACTGGTAGGACAAGAACACAGATAATGAGTATTTTCATTGAGTGAGGAAACCTAGATGAATTCACTTGGGGTTGGTCTTAGACTGGAAGGATGGTTTGTGATTTGACTAAGACAGCTTGGCAACCATTTACTAGCAGAGGCTGCCATTCACAATTTGGCCCCCACTGACTGCAGGCCACAAAACTCTGCAGCTGCCTGTGCTTTCACTCATTGCAGATCTCCAGCCACTCTGTAGCAAGGATAAGTGTAGATATGGCAGGGCAGCAGGCTCTGCAGTGGGAGGGGAGCATTGCAGAGGGTGACAAAGTGTATCTCCATGCCATTGATTTCCCCATGCCAGATTAGACCACTTCGCAGGTTGGCAGCCCCTGAATTAAGGATTAGTTTATACTCAAACTAATAGGTAGATGAGAGACAGTATTTGAAAAGACATCATGTAATTAAAATAGGCTTTGGGTGAAATTGTATAGAGGGGAAAAAATTGAAAAGTATAAAATATGAGAAGCTTAGGTTGGAAACTGGTCAGCTCTTCATCTTTCGTAAAGAACTTGAATTTGGTGGGGTTGAGGTTAACTGAAAGCATGTGGTAACATGAAAAGGAAGTCAGTGACCTGAAAAATTGATTTGTTATGCATCTTAATAGTTTGGATGAGCTCGAATTTTAAATATTTGAAAAAGGAATTACACTAATGCACATTACACTTGCACATAATGCTATCAAAGATTGATAGCAAGATTGAATAATTGTTAAGAGGAGTAGACCAATATTACTGGTTATGCATCCAAGATGAATGAGGCAAGTAAAATACTGAGAATTTCTAGATAGAATAGGAATGAACTGCATTTGAATGGAAAAGTGATATAGATATGGAAGACTTCTAGCTTAGCTTTTGCTTTTTTATACTGATGATGTAGTTTTGAGCCCTGGAACACTGCTTTAGAATGAAGCAGTATATTTGTCTCTCTGTTAATTATCTTTCTGAATTCTGTTAATGCTCTTAGAGGTGGACTTTTCAAATAGCTTAGGTGAACAAATGTGTGGCTAATCTATGCATGCCATTACTATGAATTTGTACATGCCTCATAATTTTATATGCAAACGTGTAAAGAAATAGTAGAAATCCTGTAAGGTGTTCAGCATCTTTCTCATAAGAATACTAAACAAAAAAAAAATACAAACAAATCCTTAATCCTCAAGGCAGTCCCATCTGATAAATTACTAAAATTGGTATTTGACCTTTTCCAAAGAAGTGTGTTAAATAAAAACTCATTGCCAATGATATGAGCAACAACTGGCACTTCTTGATTTCTGTCAGTTTCTAGATATTAGATATCTGAGTCTAGCATTAGGAGTTAAGGGCATATTTTATACAGCAGAAAGTCATAGTAAATATGTGTTTTAGCCTTGGGTTTCTAATCCCTAAAGGGGGAGAGATGGTATATCCTAGCCTGTCCTTGCTGCCTGTTGGCCAGGCATCTCTGACAGAACAGCTCCTTTGCTTCAGATGCCTATCATCTTCCATGTCAGAAAAGTTAATTAGTCATTCCAGCTGAACTCATTTGGCAGTTACTTTCCCACCTTTTTTTAAGGGTTTTTCTGCCCGCAGGCTGGCAATTTCCAGGTATACGGTTATACATCCCTCTGCGATAAGATGGAAAGACTTTCTCGTGGAATTAGACTAACAAGCTCCTGCTCCAAAGCGTTCTTTGCTTTACTCTCAACTGAAACTAACTTTCTTCGGGTGGGCTCTAAGGAATCATAGTACAGGTCCCATCAGAGAAACAGAAGTACATGATTACAACTCTGCTTCTTTTATGAAGATGACCAGTAGATTCAGGTGATAGTTTCTCATCCCCTGTTGCCAGTAGGGTGATGTCAAGCCATTCATTTTTACAAGTGGGTCACATGCGTTAAAAAGAATCTTGGTACACATTTCCCTTGCTTTATGCGGGTTCTGTATGTGCGAATTTGCTCTTATGCGATGACCCTTTTTATAACAAATTTTTGGTTATATGTGAGGTAAATTCACTCCTGTGTAACCGGTGTGATGGAAGCCCATAGTAAGCTGCTTTGTGCGCTGCATTGTAGGAGTGACGCACATCAAAATGTAGTCTCCTGTGTGGATCTGTGCTCCTCACTTGTTGTCTGCGACACGTGTTTCTGTAGTTGCTATCCGCATTATGATAGTGCCCTGTGCTTGTGTGTACTGTCTGCTGTTGATGAGCATCAAATTGTCTTGTAAAAGTGGTAGAAATGGGTCTGGGAGTCAGTACAGTCGAGACCTTGGAACATATCCCTGTTTGTTACCTTGTACCTTTATGCAAATTTGAGTTATGCGCCGTTTTCCAGAGACATGTACAGTATAAAGCGAGGGAGACCTGTACCAGGAAATCACTGTCTGGGTCTGTACTCAAGTTGAGGACCTATATTGGTGAGTTGCTGCTGCTAAACCAGGAGAGTTGTCTGGTAGAGAGTCTAGGAAAACATTAAGTCTGGTGTAGATCTTTAGATCCTCTTTCCCATCTGGGCTTTTTGTTCCTGTTAGTGAAAACCATGGGCTTGCATGCTATGGATCACTTGTTGTAGTGCTCCTTGAATGGTGCGTCACCTGACTGGGCACTAATTTAAAAAAAAAAAAAAAAAGTGTGTGTGTAAGTTGAGTCAACAGATTTCAGCATATGAACTTCTAATTCCTGTGTGTGGAGTTGTAAGTGAAAGCCTTATGTTTGCTTTCCAAGTTCAGTTGCAAGCTTAACTACACAGCCGTTGCTGCTGTTTTTTATAAAGTTCCTGGAAGGTAGGTTATATAGTTTCATGGTCGGTGGGGTCGGAAGGGACCTGAGCAGATCATCAAGTCTGACCCCATGCCATGGCCAGGAAAGAATGCTGGGGTCAAATGACCCCGGCAGGGTGTCTGTCTAGCCTCCTTTTGAAGACCCCCAGGTTAGGAGCAAGCACCATTTCCCTTCGAAGTTGGTTCAAGATCCTAGCCGCCCTGACTGTGAAGTAGCACCTCCTGATATCTAGCCTGAATCTACTCTCTGTCAACTTATGGCCGTTATTCCTTGTTGCTCCCAGTAGTGCTCAGGGGAACAGGGACTTTCCCATTGCCTGCTGGTCTCCCTTGGCCAATTTATAGATGGCCACCAGATCCCCCCTCAGCTTTTTCTTGTGGAGGTTCAGGTCTCGTAGCCTCTCCTTGTAGGGCCTCCTCTGCTGTCTCCCGATCATGCGAGTGGCCCTCCTCTGGACCCTCTCGATGCTATCCACATCCCTCCTGAAGTGCAGTGCCCAGAACTGGATGCAGTACTCCAACTTCTGCCTGACCAATGTCGCATAGAGGGGGAGGATCAACTACTTGGACCTGCTCATGATGCATCTGTGGATGCGTGACAAGGTGTGGTTAGCCTTCCTGACTGCATCCCCTCGTTGGCAGCCCATTTTCATCTTGGAGTCTATAATGACTCCAAGATCCTTTTCTGCCTCTGTGCTGACAAGTAGGGAGTTCCCCAACCTGTAGGTATGCTGCTGGTTCTTCCTCCCTAGGTGCAGTACCCTACACTTGCCAGTATTGAATCCCATCTTATTCTCATCCGCCCACCCCTGTAACCTGTCCAGATCCAATTGCAGCCTGTCCCTCCCTTCTAGCGTGCCCACTTCTCCCCACATCTTAGTGTCATCTGCGAATTTAAACAAGGTGCTTTTCACCCCCTCGTCCAAGTTGCTGATGAAGATGTTGAACAGTGTGGGCCCAAGGACCGAGCCCTGGGGGACCCCACTGCCCACATCCCTCCAGGTTGAAAATGACCCATCCACCACCACTCTCTGGGTGCGGCCCTTCAGCCAATTGGCAACCCATCTGACTGTGTAGGAATCAACACCACAGTCTCCTAATTTTTTTAATGAGAACGGGGTGAGAGACAGTGTCAAAGGCCTTCCTAAAGTCCAGAAAGCCTACGTCCACCGCTACACCTGCATCCAAGGATTTTGTGACCTGGTCGTAGAAGGCCTGGTCTGACAGGACCTGCCTCTAATGAACCCATATTCGTTGCCCCTTAGCATACACTCCCCTGCTTGCCCCTTGCAGATGAGCACCTGGATAATATTCTCAAAGAGCTTCCCCAGGACTGAGGTAAGACTAACAGGCCTATAATTTCCTGGGTCCTCCTTTCTCCCTTTTTTGAAAATGGGGACCACGTTGGCCTTTTTCCAGTCCTCTGACACATTGCCAGAGCACCATGAGTGCTCGTAAAGCTGTGCCAGGGGTCCCACAATGACCTCTGCTAATTCCCTCAGCGATCTGGGGTGGAGATCATCAGAACCTGCTGATTTGAACACGTCCAGAGCCACCAGAAGTTCCCCGACTAGGTTCTCTCTGACCCTGGGCCTGGCTGTGCCTCCCCTGGGACCATCGGGGATCCCAGTGTGGGGGATGACCTGGTCCCTGCTCAGAAAAATGGAGACAAAGAAGTTGTTAAATAGGTTAGCTTTGTTGTCTGGTGAGACTACCAGATTTCCTAGCATGTCCTGTAGAGGCCCCACGTTACCCGGAACCTTCTTTTTACCCCCTATGTACTTAAAGACTTCTTGTTATCCTTGATGTGGGTCGCTAGTCCCAGTTCCATCTCCACCTTAGCCTTCCTAACAGCCCCCCTACAATCCCAAGCAACGGTGGTATAGTCCTCCCTGGTGATGGCCCTTCCCTTCCATTGGGTGTACGCCTTCTTTTTAGCTTTGAGACGTGCCTGAATGCTTTTGGTTAGCCATGGGGGCTTTTGAGCACTCTTGCCCCCTTTGACTTGTGTTGGGATTGCCACCCTTTGGGCTTGGAGGATTGTCTCCTTCAGGAATGACCACTCTTCTTGGACTCCCACCCCTCCGGGACCTCAGTGCCTCCCTGACTAGTCTCCTTAGCTCAATGAAATCCACCCTCCTGAAGTCCAGGGCTGCTGTCTTGCAGGCCTTTGCCACCCTCCGCTGGGTGATGAATTCCAGTAGACGATGAGCACTATCTCCGAGGTGGTCGAGCACCCGCAACCTCCTCACCAGGTTGTCGCTTGTGGCCAGGACCAGGTCTAACAAGGCATTTCCCCTGGTGGGACTGTGCACTTCCTGGGTTAGGTGGAGGTCCTGTAACTTGGCTAGGAACCTTTGTGAGCGGTCAGACCTGGCTGACTGCTCTTCCCTGCAGATGTCCGGGTAGTTTAGGTCACCCATGATGACCACATCGTTTGACTTAACTGGCTTCACAAGCTGACCTGAGAATTCCCGATCTAGCTCTTCTCCCTGGTTGGGTGGTCTCTAGTAGACCCCCACCATTAAGTCTACACCGTTAATATGCTGTTATGTCACTACAGAACTTTGTGCCTTCATGATTAGCACCCCCTTTCTCTCAAATTTATGTGGATATATCGACAGTCCACATTGATATATAACGGTGCCTGCTTGTTTATTTTGAATGTTGCTGTATATGCATACGTATATGGGTGGTCTAGACATCCAGGGCATTGCCTCATGAGACCAGTCATCTTGCTGCTCTGACCTCAGCCTCAGAATTTCATTCCCATTTTTAAAGGAGAAAGTCTGTTTTGTTTCCTGTGTCACATAATGAAAATATTCTTGCCTTCTTAGGTTGAGGCACCTTTGGAAGAAGCCATTAAATTTTTAACACCATTGAAGAATTTGGTAAAGAACAAAATAGAGACCCATCTTTTTGCCTTTGAGATATACTTCAGGAAAGGTAGGTGAGAGAACTAATTAAGTCAAGTACTTTATGGTTATTGTACTTGAATAATGAAATCCATGAAAACTATTGATCCACTGACTTAAAGAGCTGGATATTAGCTAATAGCTTTTTAACTGGGTATGCTCACAGCCCTAGGCATTCAGTAATATTGGCTTCAGATTTGGAACAGCTGGTGATTATCCAGTTTCTCTATTGTACGCAAGTCCATGAAGGCTAGAGATCAAAATGTTCAGACTTGCACATTCCCAAGTTGCTTGGCTGCACCCAAAGTAGTCTGTAAATTCAAGATAAAGCCTTACATGTTTTTAAAATTGGTTTAGAGCGTTTGTTATGACCTTTTATAAGTAGATAATACATGTGTGTTTCTTTCAGTCTAACGCAATTTGTATATTCAGAGAGTTAACATTGCAAAATGGGATGAGTCAAGTTCGCAGTGCCATTTTCTGGCCAGGCCAGATTTTAAAGATGATCTGGTCAGGATTGTCTAAAGCAGGCAGACTTGCCTTGGGCTGGCAGCAATGGTGACCACTGGAGCTCAAGGACAGCTGAGGGCACAGCCCTTACTCACCACCCTGCCACTTAAGGCTATATCTACTAGGGCCCCATGGTCCTGGATTCTGTGGCCAGTGGGAGGTGCCTACCACATCCCAGGCTTCATGGCCCCACAGTCGGTTGGCAGGACAAATGGAGCAGCTCTGTGTGTTGGATCTAGCCCAGGGACTGTATGTCCGACACTCCTGCTCTAAGGGATTGTGGCCAGCGTTAACTTCTCTTTCCCCAAATCCAGTCTGAATGAGAAGCAAGAATTTTTTTTCTCCTGAGAGCAATGGCATAGATCCACCAGAACTATCTTCCCTAAACTCTATAGAGACTTCAGCACTGATTCTTATGTTAGAGGTACTCTTCACTGTATTGGTTTCAACTAAGGAAAATGTTGTTTGAATAAAAGTCACCAGGACATACCCATTATGTACAAAATCTAGTTTTTTCCCATCATGACCATATTGTGCTGTATTTAAACACATTGTGCTTGAAATGAAATACATTAAAATACAACAGAATAGGGTATAATTATAATGAAAGAGGGAAATTTTGCACTTTTAAATTTTGGCTTATGAAGTCGTCCAGTTTAAAAAAAAAAAAAAAAAAAGTGTGTTAGTCCACAGTAGTTAGTTTTACCTCTGAATTAGTTTTTAGGCTCAACAAGGTTAGCTTTTTCTCTGAACAACTTTTATGGGCATCATGTATTAATCTTTTATTTGTTCTGGACTCTAATTTTAAGTATATTTTTTCTCAATCGGCATCTGAAACTTGATGGTTCTCTTTAAGACTTGCAGAAAGTACTTCTGTAATTCACTGACAATTTTATTTTACAGAAAAATTTCTTCTGATGCTACAATCAGTGAAGAGAGCATTTGCTATTGATTCCAGTCATCCTTGGCTTCATGAGTGTATGATTCACCTCTTCAGCAGTGGTATGGGAATGTTTATATATAAAACTTGTTCTGTCCATGCTTCTAGCAACCATCCTGTATAGTCATCTGTGCTTGCAATAAACTTCATTCAAAATGTGTAACAAATTATTCATTTTGTTAGAATAACAGTGTTATTATTTTGACTACAGTTGGTTGTAGTGACTGAATAGCTTAATGTTAGAAATCACATCCTGTTTTAAAATAAACATTACTATAGCTTCTTTTAAAAGAAATTGCAAGTAAAAACATACTTGTTGTGCTCTGTCTTCCTTTCTGCATTTCTTTCAGCTTGGATAATAGATAAATATTTAGGTTTGTTTCAAGTCCTTCAAGTCTGTGGATTACAAACACTTCTGCTAAACAAAACATTTATAATTTTGAGGTGGATATAATTTCATATGACCCTTTTAAAAATGTGATTTCCTAATTTTATAGAAAAACTTCTGTCGGTTTAGAATTGCTTGATTTATTTTTCCATTCTAAAGCAAATCCATTTTGCAATTAAATGTATATGGAGAGAATATTTTTTTTCCTTAAACTTTTTTAAATGTGACATCATCCAAATACTTGTTTTCATGTTGCTGGTAAAAAGACCTCATGGAGGTAAGGGTGTAGGTTTTAGCCGTGTTGGTCTAAGGACATAGGCAGACAAGGTTCCTTGGGTGAATTTGATATCTTTTATTAGATCAACCCAAATAGTTGGATAATAGTTATTAAGCAAGCTTTCGGGTTCAAAAACCCTTTGTCAGGCTAAGGAAGTTTCAGCAGTTGGTGTGTGCTCTTCCTGGATGGAATGAAAAGTAAAGAAGCCATAGGCTGGGCTGGGGAGTTAATTGCCAGGCAGATTATAATGTGTCAAAAATCATGGAGGTAACACACTCCTGCATAACATAATAGTGGTTAGGCAGCTCATTAGTATAATGAGAAACTGGTTTCATATTTACTGTTCTGTCTGAAACTTGTATCAGTAATTTCATCTTTCCACATACTTTCAATTATTTTCTGTTGATTCTATGCTAAACACTTACAGAGTTATGCTGGTTTTCTAAAGAGCAAAATATTTTGCAGTTTTTTTCAACTTGTGCAAAAAAAGGAATGCTTCACTGTTTTGGGCCCCTGCCCATAAATTTAAAACAATAGGGGCCAACCTGTTTGGCAGGCATGCCACAAACTGGTACCACACCTTCCCCAAATTCAACTCCATACCCTTTTTCTTACCCAGTCTGCTGCTCTTCTTTCTGCTTCCTACTCTGTCTGCTCTTACGCTGCCTATGCCTTCCTTGACTTGCCCCACTCAGAGACTGCCCATGCTGCATGCGGCATGCAGAATATAGGTTGGCCATCCCTGAATTAAAACATACAAAAATAATGCAAAATGGCTGCCTATTAATAATAATAATACAGTAATTGTGCCTTTAAATAGTAACCCAGCCATATATTCAAGTCCATTTAAGGGGTGACAATACAGTAAATGAGCTACAAAGTTATTCTACTTATGTAACAATTTTGTTGTGGTTCCATTTTATCACACTTTAAATTGAATGTGTGGCTGGTTGGGGCCAGTCCATGACAGTTCCCAATATTCAGCTGAGCATTAAGATCTAGCATGGGACAGACCCATGGTCCAAGACACAGCTGTCTCCCTACCTAGTCGGGCTGGGAGCAAAAACAGTCCCTGGAACTCGGATCCCCAGAGGCAGATGGGGGAGAAAGAGGGGTGGTGCGCAGTGAGCCCAACATCAAGAAGCATCTCTCTGACCTCAGGCCCACTGCACACTAGACCTTTAAAGACTGCATTTGTGTAGGTGAGCTTCATATATGGTTTTCTGATCCTGAGGTCCCCATGTCCTGGGGATGTCAGAAAACTGTATACAGCACAGCTGTGCATACAGTTTTTAATGGTCCCAGAAGGACAGGACCCCAGGATCATGGAAGAGGCTCCCCAATTCCAGTGTCCCCATGCTAGGCATGAGTAAAAATCATGTGTACTGCCCAGCTGAGGAGCACATGTAGCTATTGCTCCTCCCTGGCCCTGAAGGCTCTAGGATCAGACTGCTGCACCCTGATCCCTGGTTCCCTATGGGCTGGGACCTGTAAAAACCACGTGTGCCCCCCAGCTGGAGTTTTGACAATCAGCTGATTGTCAGCTAGAGCTAGTTCCACCCCACAACTTGGTCCCTGGCCTTGGCTAACAATCGGCCGATTGTGGGCATCCAGCTTCAAGATTATGATACTGGCAGCTAAGGCATAATTGACATCTAATGCGCAATCTGAAAACCGTGCTTTCTGCCATACATATATGGCATGATGGCAGGAGGTATGATGGTTGGGACTGTGCATCAGATTGCATTGTGCCCTTAAAGTGAATGTCTATCAGCAGCGTAACTCTTCGTTGGTTCTAAAGTCCTGTCTGCTAAAGAGAAAGGAAAAATTGGGACTGTGCACAATTTTTTTGGGTTCTTTGTTGCAGTTTTAGGAGATTTGAAGCGTAATATTCTCCTTCTTAATTTGGTTGAAGTGCCACCTTTTCCTCTTATCCTGTAGGCAGTATAGAATAGCATGTGACAAACTATCATACACAAAAGTGAAGCGGGTGGGGGGGTGTTAACTGAGATATGGCCTGGAGCTCTTTGTGCTTGGTTTGGGTCTGCAAAGCAGTCAAGAGGCATATCTACACTGCTTCTGTGGTGAGTCAGAGAGTACTGATGAGAAGTACATTCAACCCATTGGCGACAGCAGTTTTGCCCATGCTCTGGTTCCTTGTTTCATGCATGTTTTCAGGGCAGAACTAATACTAACAAAGGAGCAAAGGAGGAATAGGGCCTGGTACTGTCTGCCCAACTTCTGGGAAGGCTGCTAGGATTTGGGGAGGGTTTTCTTTGTCTGTGTCTTGACCTGTTTCTTTTTTTGTCCCTTTGCCTGTCCTGTTTAATTCTCTCTGTTCAGGAAGGAGTAAGTAGGAAGAACTATAATCATAAAGCTGGGAACTTGTTTCCAGAGGAGCCAAAAGATACTAGCAGGGTGGGAGGCCAAGTTGACTTATTCCTGCCTCCGTAAATCGCCATTCTCTGTAATAGGTTTTAACATACTCAGCCTCTTGTCGGCTTAACGTTGTATTTTCTGTAACCTAGTTGTTTTCCCCTCCTTACCCTTAACCCTCTTTCGTTCAGGCGCTCTGTATTTCCCTTATGGCTCTATCATCTTTTTGGTTCATGATTCTTAACATCTAATAAAATTCAATCTGTCTACTTATAGGATGCAAAGAGAGAACAATCAGCAAGTAGTTTGTAATAGTTTTTTTCTTTTACCATGGAAACTCTGCTTGTTTTTAATAAGCAGGGAGTGTTTTTAATATCTGCTTGAACAGAAATATGTAAATTGGAAGAAAAGCTCAGTGATTCAGACTTCTTGTCATTTTCGCTAAAGGGTCACAATCCGCATACCCACACTGTCAGAAAAAATTCTAGCAGAATAGGGAAGTCGTTTAAGGCGAAAAAAGCATGGCAGACTTTCAGGTTGCCTTTATGCAAAGCATGAGAAAATGAAAAGTCAAACTTTTTTTTTTTTTTTTTTTTACAGGGGAAGTAACCTATACAATATTTCTTCTTGACCTTTTTTAAAGCGCTAACCTACAAAATATTTCTTCTTGACCTTTTTTAAAGCGCTATCAGATACTGGCCCTACTTAAACCAGATACTGCTGCTCAACTTTGTGGTACATATATTTGAGACATCAATTTCTAAGGGCTTGAAAGGTGGTAAAGTAGCTAGCAAAACTTTAGTTGCTAAAGGAATAGGGATGTCAGAAGTTGAGGTTATGGGATTTTTTGGATGGAAAAGCAAGGGATCGAGCACTTCTGCTGGGTATGAGAGGGGCATGGCAGGATTTAGCAGCTAGGAAGGTATGTATAAAGAGGGTTTGGCAATAATGAGGCTTGAGAAACGAGCTTAGTAAGAGGTAAATTAGTAAGGAAAGGGATTGACCACCTTTGGGGTGTTGGGAGATCAGTGTCCTTTGTCTGAAGGAGACAGGAGTGGTATGCATGTTTTTGAAGAGAGTGAAGCTGAGAACTTTGGACACAGGGTAAACGATGATGATGATTATTATTTCTGGACACCAACAATTGGAATTTCATTGAATCTCTCCACAGTGGTGTAGCCTTTTCCTCTATACTATCTAAAAACACAGTTGAATGACATGGTAGAAAGAAGAAAGATGTAGGTCTTTTTCTTACGAGGTCTATAAATACTTGTAAAAATTTTCCATCCTGTGGAAGTAAGATTTTTCCCCAAAACAGTTCTCTAATTGGGATGAAAAAGGCATCATCTCAATTAAACAAAATCCTGGGGAAAACTTATTGTTTTAAGGTTAAACAATTCACTTAAATTTTGGTTCTTAAACATTTTTTGAGTTTGAAGTTAAAACAAAAAAAAGCTTTTGGTTAAAACAGGATACTTTCGCACTTGTACAGGTGTTTTCTGACTTTTTAAATGAAATGTATTACCTCTTCATACCACTTCAGTAAAACCAGATTATTTTTAATTATCTCACAGAAAACTGTTTCAATGAAAACTTTATAGCTACTTCCTAGTTATGTACCTTTTCTTTACTTGTATATATCTTTAATTGAAAATTTTCAACTTCACTATTCATGTAAAAGAGCAAGTTGTTTTTTTCTTCTTAAGTCAAATGTATTTTGCTGCGATTCCTGATGGTAAAAAGCATCTAGAGTTTTGTTTTGTTTTTTATGTTGAGATCTATTTCCTTTCTACCCAACAGTATCTGAAAGTAAAGACCTGCCCAACGTAGTTAGAACAGTGTTAAATCAAGAAATGAATCGCCTTTTTGGAGCAACTAATCCAAAGAACTTCAATGAAGCTTTTCTTAAGAAGAACTATGACTCCCTACCACATAGGTTATCAGGTACTTTATTTTTGTTGTTCTTACTAAACTAAGTTGTTTTTTATTTTTATTTTTTTTGCGTTTGGAATTTACCTCAAAGACCCTCACTTTTTCTTCCTCTTCCATTTCTTGTACTCATATAGCACAGGACTTTCTGTTCCCATACTGCTAATATCACAGGCTACTGTTGCCATCAGGAATAGTTTCTTGTATCCATTTCAAATCTCAGTTGAAAACATAACTTCCTGTTTGCCTATATATTTTAATTTCTCTCCCTGTATGCCACAGCTGTGGGCTTCACTGCATATAAATCTTTGGACCATCTGTGGCCCATCGTCACTTCTGACATAATTGCTGAATTGTCATGAAAGATCTTTTTAATGGTAACTATATTTAACTCTCTAGAATATTTTAGGATACAGTTTGTATAAAGTATGTTAAAAAGTAACTGTACTGTATTGATTTAAGTTTAAAATAACCTGGAGATGAGATGTTTTCATGAGAGAGTGATAGAATTATTTTTCTGTCTCCATCTTAAAACATGGATTCTTTCGTACTGGCTTTTATGCTACTAAAATTACTCCTGCACTCTCCTGCTTAAATCAAAATGTACCATCAAATTAATGTATCCAGTAGTCTAAACAAACTGTAGTTTTAGGCAGTTGTTGATTTATGCTGTAGCTTTGGTCTAATATGCATATTTGACCACCTTCACAATAAGTATTAATATATAATGAGATAACCTCCTGCTACAGCTTGATTTGAACTTTGTTCATGAGGTAGAAGCCCACAGAATTGTTTGTAACAATTGGAAGCGCTAACTCCTTACCCTGTGGTTGAACTTGGGCATCTGTACCTTTCTGTTCCTCTAGTAAATAACTCTGAAAGTCACTAACAAAGTTTCTCACCCTCCTCTAATGGCTGGCCCACAAAGATAGCAACCTACTGCTGTCATAGAACCCAGGTGGTTCTATGACAAGCTATACAAGCAGTTTGCACTCTTCTGAATTTACACCAGGTTGCCCAATTAAGAATGAGACATTCAGCTCTGTGGGTCAGCTTGTATTTCAGTGGATGCCACTTTTCTGATTGCTGGAGCTTATAGGGAGTGCCATTTGGCTGACTGCTACAGCTTGCTTTGAAATAAAAGCTACATTGGACAACAGGAACATTTCAGTGATCCTGTGAAGCTCTGGTGTGTGTCTGGAAACCTTCAAATATTTCCCAACATCTTTTCCCAGCCAGGGGTGTTTTAGGAGCCTAATGCTATAAAGGATATGAGTTCTACAGTACCCATTACAGAGAACTCTGCAACTTAAGCTGATGTATACTCAAATGGTGACAGTACAGATGGGGGTCAGTGTCCATGAATTGCATGTCATGGAATTTTTGTTGTGCATTTTTGCAAATTAAAATGCACATCCATTTGGCATTTGGTGGAGCAGAGTAATGCATTAAGGCAGGCCTGGGACCATATGTTGAATGAGGACAACAAATAGAAATCCTAAAAAAGTACCCATTCACTGAGTGAGGCACAGGTCCCCTGTAATTAAGTGGTATAATAACAGGCTGTTGTATATTTGCAAGGGAGCCAACCTGTGGTTGTACAGGTAACTTTTAATATTGACCATTCAACTTCAGACCACCTGACTTTGGAATCTTTATATAGCTTTTGGATCTGTTAGAATAAAAAAACTGTGTACAGTTAATGATAAAAATACTATGTTGAAGCTAGTGTCTTTTTAATAGTAGCTTTTGGCAGCCAAACTGAGTTCCTTCCTGGTGTAAAATGCTAGCTAGATTATTACATTTGTTGTAGGTTCCCTAATGCATGTTTAAACTTATGATACTGGTGAAACATCTTCATCTGGAAGACCAGTGAGAACTGTAAAGCCTCCATTTCCACTTGACCTCACCACTGGAACCCTACTCCCACATACTTACTTCTGCCTAGTAGTTTGTCATATAGCTCTTAAATGTTGTGTTTTGCCATTGGATGGAGAAAAAATTCCCCTTCCCAAGGGTGATTACACGTCACAGTGACTGCCACAGTAATATGAGCAATATTGATGCAAGTTACTGCACTCAGTCTTGCCATTTATGGCTCATCTAGTGCCTGGTGGTGGCTCCCTCAAAATAAGTTAATTCATGTAGATACCATTTTTGCAGACTGAAGTTTACATAATGGTTTTCATCTTGATATTTTTTTCACATGGACTCTTGAGTACTAAAACCAGGCTTGGAGTACCCATTGGTTTGCTCAAATAAAGAGAACATTAAGCTAAAAGTTACCAGCTGAACTGGTCTAGAATGCAGTATTCCAGTTCTTGAAGTTATGTAGTCTTGATTTTGCTAAAGACTTGCATTTTCTCTTGTAGCTGCCAAAATGATGTACTATTTAGATCCTTCCAGTCAAAAAAGAGCAGTGGAGTTGGCGGTGTCCCTCGATGAATCACTCTCTAACAGAAATCTTCAGGTAAAGATGGTTTTTGTGATATCTGAGGGCCCTTCTAGATGCTGAGAACAGGATTTGTAGGTCCTGTTTCATCTCCAGTAGTATCGTCACCCTAAAGCTTTTTAGCCTTTTTAGAAAAATTGTTTTGGATATTTGGGAAGCTTTCTTTTTATTTGTATGAATAACTTCCTGTATCAATTTTTATGTAATTCTGTTTTGCCGATGGGCAAAAAAATGAGACTTTAGATTGCATGTGTCAGTCCTGTAAATAGTTTATTTCTCCTTTGAACGCTAGCTCAGTTAACGAGTCCAGGGGTCCTGTATTTCTGGAGTATATAGTTTTCAGATCAGTTAACTTAACCTCTGCCCTTTAGGAAAAGACTAGCATAGGCAAGAATGCATATTACTGGATCTTCAGGATTAGGATTTCAAGATAGAGTTCATAATTACAGCTGTTGGGTTGGATTGGTGGTATAACCATGATGGTCCAGGAAATATGCAGGAGGAAGGATTTTTTCCCTCCTTTTGCTGATAACTTGTCTAAGGTGGTGCAATAAAAGTTTTCATCCAAGCAACTCTGAGCAAATTGAAAATGGGGAGATCAAAACTTCCTGGATTTGTGTTCAAAGGTCCTCTAATTACCCTTTTTCCCCTCTCTTGCCATTGTATTTACCTTGACATTTAGTAACAAACATCAGACTCTTTTTTCATTATGCTTTGTAAACTCATGCTCCTGGGGTGTGGCTGGTAGGAACACCCATAGTTGATATTTGAGCCTCTTGGCAAGCAGTAAGCTCCATTGTATTTCCATTTGTCCAGGTTGTTTCTAACCAGAAATCATTTCTCTGCACTTAGTGCTCCAGTTTATTGGGGTGAAAAACTCACATTTTTCTTCAGGAGAAAAATTTACTTCTTTGTGGGACTGCTGGCTCAAAAAAATCACAGCATCATTTTGCTGTACATGAAATAGCATGCTGATCCCGTTTCCTTAACCAGTTAATGGCAATCTGAGTCTGAATAGTAATCATCATCACTTCATATGAAAAGAGGCTGCACACAGACTTAGGCTGACCTGTGTGTCATAATTTCCAGCCAGCTTATTTTTAAGAATGTCTTTGTAATTTGTATAGAATTCCCTATGCTTTGTCTAGAGTATCTCATCCTTCTGGTCTAAAAACTTTGTCAATGGCTATCTAGCTGTCTTCACTTTTATTTATTTATTTATTTATTTATTTATTTATTTTTCTTGCAGACCCTTTTTTTGCAGTTGTATATAAGTTCATTTTGTGGGGGTTTTTTGTTTTTTTGGTTTTTTTTAAATGAGGCACATCACAGTAATCCTTGAGTCTCCAATAATTTTGATCCATTCCAAGTAGCTTTAGCATTTCTCTCTTTTTATAAACTTTTTAATAGAAAATTCTGGTTAGTTTGGGGACATGCAGGAATTGGGATACCTTTCCTTGGAAAGGGTTTCTCCAGTCTGAATTGAATTCCTAGTCAGAAATGAAGAGGGAGAACAGACCAACCTTGCTGACAAGTATAAAGTAATGTACATGGGGAAAAATAACCAGCTATATGCATACATAGTACTGGGCTCTCAATTAACTTTTACAACTTGAGAGAGAGGCCTTGGGGACATTGTAGATAATTCTCTGAAAAGATCAGCCCAATATGTAGCAGCAACCAAAATGCCAATAAAACATTGGGCATCATTCCAGCCCCCAAGAAAAATATTTCAGAGGTTTTGAATTCATCCCCATGCAGGATGGTCATCCCCATGCAGGATGGAAATCTTTCTGAAATTAAAATATTTATGGTATGGGAAAGCTGTTCCACCAGCATTTCATTTGATAGGAAAAATATTTAAGTACTTTTCTGACAGCATTTGTGTTCCAGCTGCACTTGTCAGAGCAGAGGATTCTGTAATCTTGTATTTACTTGCTTATGAGTTGCACCTTTGATACAGGAGTTAAGTCAGAGGCATTGGTTTTTTAGAATTCCAAAATAAACAGGGCATCTTCTGCTTCAGCGTATATTTCAGCCTGCATTTACTGAACTCTGCAATATAGAATTTGGTTATACAGCCACAAAACAAAACAATTTTCAGTTCAAACAAGTTTAGAGCTGTTAAAGCTACCAAACAATTAGACATGAAACTAGACCCCTTCTAAAATTAATGCAAGACAAAACTTCTCGACATTGAATGAGGAGACATCACTAGCATTAACATCCAGGAAATTGTCAGTTAGGAGCTTATCTCCACCAGCAAGGAAGTACTGGATGGACATATCTTGTACTCCAGGTGTCAAAACACGGACTGCTATGCGAGGCCTGGAAACTAATTGGTGGGAGGCAGATGGGCTATCCAAGCCCAAACTTAAGAGGAAGCTTTTAGCAAGGAGGGTAGCACCAGTGATCAACATCATAGAGCAGATGAAAGCAACAGCAAATAGCATAAGAATGAGAGACTGGTTTCAACCCACTGGTGCTGGCATGATGCAGTGTAGATGAGGCAAGTCTGCACTGCCTTTTGCTGCAGCTCAGTGGCTGAAAATGTTTAGATGAGGTCCCACTAATAACATGGTAAGAGTGCTTTTTGTAAAAAGTGTGGGGTTTTATGAAGAATATCTGTGAAAAAGAAAATGAGGAATTTCCATTTTTGTTTTTGGTGCATCACTCCCAACAAGTTACACTACTACAGTATCCAAATACTTAAGAAAAATATTCGGTGATTACTTGGACACTAATTTTAGACAAAATAAGAAATTATATTTAAATTGAACATTATCTTTGGAATTTCTGGCTACTACTTGTGGTGTTGTCTTTTTACTGTTTGTACCACCCTGTGGGTCGGGAGAGGGTGCTGGTACCCTGACACCAGCCTCTCCCCCACCCCTGGCTGTACCTCACCTCCAGTCTGTCGCCTGCCACACCTTTGTTATTCAAATGTTTGTTGGTGAGGGAAGCAGTCCCTCAGCCGGGATTAACTTTGCTAACTTGTCTTAGGCCTTTACTCCTCCTCGAGTGTGTCCCCTTTAAGGAAGCACTCCCATGGGTTTCTGGGGACTTGTTGGGGTCTTAGTGGTCATAACCATGGCCTTCTTTCTCTGGCCACATCATCAGCATAGGTCCACTGTTTTAGACCTCAGCTACTAGCCCTGCCTTTGTGGGAGCCCCTCCTGTGGTTTCAGTCTCAATGCTGGCCTCCACCCCTTTAGCTCAGGGCTAGCTCCTGACACAAGTAGTAGGGGAGTGCCACCCAGGCACCCCTGCTCATGGCGTCCTCTACAACTGTAGCCACAACCTAGTCCTCAGGTGCAAACAGAACAAAAACATGAGCCAGCTGTTTCATAACATAAATACTTCCCTCCTCACGATGCATGTTGCCCCTAGGCCCTACCACTGTAAGATCCTCTTTTTCCAGCTCCCCTGGGTGGGATGGATGCCTGTCTGTCCGTCTCCAGCAGCCGCCTGTCTGTCCGTCTCCAGCAGCCCCTCACTCCTGGGAGCTCCTCTCTCTGCTGCAGATAGGGGCTCCCCCAGCCTGGTTAGAGATTGGTTTACATATCCCCAAGCCAAATAGTCTCCTTCCAGTCATGTGCCCGGATCTTCTGTACCCAATGACCAGTGCAGCTAATTGTTTCATTAGCTGCCTGGCTTTATGAATCCTGGATCCAGTCCACCTGAGCTGTTACTCCTTACTGCCCTTCCTGGCCCCGAGTCTCTCACCCAGTCAGGCCTTTCTAGTAACAGGAACAGAAATGCTGTCTTTTTAAAAGACCTCAAAATGACAGGGGTAGCAACTTAAACTTAGTGTGAAGCTCTGATTCCGGAGTACACTAGTCCTTTAAAATATGTTTGCGAATTTGTGTGTTTGTGTTCTCAAACTAAATCTGCACGTTTGTATAACTGCATGTTTGTATAAGAATATATACACTGTTCTTCACAGGGTACTAAACGTCTTCAGTTTTTTAATTTAAAATAATTTTCTTGTTTAAAACATTGTATTTAAAATTAAATGTGAAATTGATTAACTTTATGATAGCCTAAACATAATATCATCTATTATAATCACTTAGAATAAATATATCCAAACAGTATGTGCTTGCTGCTGAAGTTTATAGAGACTATTGCACTGGAGGAAGTCGGTGGCTAAGCACTTGTAACCAGTTTGTTGAAGTGATAAACCATTTTTTGGCACTAATCTTGTTGTAGGCCTAGAGAAATTTCCTCACTTAAATTCTTCTCAGTTTAATCCAACTAAATGTAGTGTGTTCAAACTTTGAAAAATTAGAGGTTGAAAAAGCATGACATTTGTTTTCCTCTTGCAAATGATTAATATGGATTAGGGTGCAAGAGGCTAAGATATATCAGGTCTAAAATCTGGAACACCAGAAATTGTAGTGGCCAGAAGCAATCAACCCAGTTCACTACTTAGATCCTTTTTTGCTTTTAACAATGTAGTGTTTAACAATTTAAAACCAGATTTAAAATGCTGGCTTTCTGTATTTTTAATTGTATCTCAGTTTTCATCCAAAAGCAACTTTACACAAGTCCAGTTAGAAATGAATCCAGTACACACAAAATGTCACCCATTTTCTAACCTAATGTAAAAACTAATAATGTGAATACATTTTTTGTTGGGATGTAGGGTTGCTTAATTGTGTACAAGTAGTGTATTCTTCCAGTTAATAAAAGCATTACATTATTTGTACAGGCTATATTTAGTTGCAGATAAATTTGCTGATAATCCACATAGTGAACAGCTGAGGAGAATCAGTTATTTTGTAGGAAAATAATTGAAGGACATATGCAGAGCAAGATCAAAACTGATCTAAGTCAAGACTTCTTACTGATATTCATTGTTTTTTTAAAAGGAGGCAGCAACTTAAATTACTGGCTCTTAAATAACCCTTGGTCTTCATGGCAGCATCCACACATGGTGTGGACATTTGGTTCCCTGAGGATAACTAGCATTGGCACACCTTGCACTGCTGCTAGTTGTCCCTGGAGAACGCCTATGCCACGTGCCCTCTGGCACATGGCAAGTTACCTTGGGGATGGTAGCAGGGGCCGGGGCTAGCATTGGGTTGACCCCAGCAGCCTTACCTGGAGTCCTGGGGGCCTCCTGGGGCTGCAGCAATGGCGATTCTGTTGCATGGATCCTGGCCAGCAGTTGTAACCTGACTCCGGGTGTCCGGACTCTGCTTTTGAGTGGTGCACACTGCCCCCGCATGCGCCGCTCCCCTTTTTTTCTCCATGGGTTTTTTGACACCTGGATATCCAGGGGTCAAAAAGTCCTCCATGCTGCTCCCTTGCAGTGCAAAGAACAACTGAACATGCAGTATGTGGCACTGCAGGCATGGCATGGCCACACTTGTCTGGACACGGCCCATGTGTCCTGATTTAGAAAAATACATATTTGATGATACTAGAAAAGAACGTTTTGTATTCTTTAGTACTGCGTATTTTTTTGTTGTTGTAAATATCAGATTACCATTTACAAAGGTTTTAACACTTTTTTCTTTTTATCTTTAATAGACTTGTATGGCGGTATTAGAAGCTTTGTGTGATGGTAGTCTGGGAGACTCTAAAGAAGCAGCTGAAACTTACCAAGCAAATTGTCATAAGCTTTTCCCCTATGCTTTGGCTTTCATGCCCCCTGGATATGAAGAGGATATGAAGATCACAGTAAATGGAGATAGTTCTGCAGAACCTGAAGAACTGGCCAATGAAATATGAACAACTTAACAAAAAAAAAAATGGAATAACATTGGACCGTATCTGGTGTATAATATTTTTGTCACGCACCTGCTGAGTCATTCTAACTTACACAGAGAATGGAAGGAGTTAAAATTTTTGCCTTCAAATAGTTTTACTTTTTTTATCCTGCTGACAAAGTATATATATAAAATATCTAACGTATTACTGGATATAGGTTCAGTTTCTTAAAAATTAAAAGCTGCTAAAATTGAAGAAAAAACCCCTTACCTACCTACCTACCTACCCATGTTTTTAAACTAATTTATAAGAAACCTGGAGGCTTATAGCTCTCAGAGCAGGTGTGTGGCAGAAATATTACTTTAAATTTGTCTTGTGAGATTACTATTATCTCAGACAGCAAATACGCTGTTTTAGCACTGGATTCTTTCACTGAGCACAAAGAGTTGTTGGGGCTTTAGCATCTGACTGATTTTGATACAGAGATGATTCTGTCCATAGGAAGTATGCAATGTGAATCAATTTACAGAGAAACCTACAACGTACGTGTAATGTTGTAGAGGTTGGGACATAGATACCAAGCAGAATTAAGAAACATAAGGTGTACAATAAGCTTGTTGTGTCTCCGAAATTCACTGTACACGATCAGTTTGGTGTTCTTGCACCACAGTTTTTAACTGAAGGAACCAGTTAAAACAATCTCTTCATTTTTAATTAAACTTGAAAAGAAAGTGACACTGCTGTTTTTTGAGATGAACCTCACAGCATAGTTTGGCCAGACTTGTTAAAACTGTAATGCAAGAACCAAATGAAATTATGCACTGTGATGTGGCACCAACTAATTAGAAAGAAAGCATGCATTTTTCATATAGAGTGAAAAGAAAATGAGAACATACTATGGCTTTGAAGTTCCAAAGAGCGGAACTCTCGACTACCATTTTATGACTGATCAAGAGACTAATAGTTTAAAACCTCAGCAGGCCTTGTTCACGTTATGCAGAAAAAAAAGTGCTGCAGTTTAGATACCTCTGGAACTTTTCCACAGTGTCACAGGTTTGTAATACTTGAAGCCCTACATTTCTAAGAATATATTTCTTGCTCAGTTATTTCAGGCAAGCCCAAGACTTTGTAACTTTTAAGGGGCCCAAATTTTTTTTCAGTAACAGACCAGCTTCTTATTCCTGCAGTTACAGATGAAATTTCCTTTGTCAAACATAAGGTACCAAATATAATGCAATAAAATGTTTTGAAAAACAATTGTGTGAATATTTCAACCAATCTGTGTTGTACTTTTGAAAATGAATGGATGAAGAGATGCAAGTCAGGGCTGGATTCATATGCTGTTCAGTAATACCATTAATGCATCATTTTTGGGTGGACTTCAAGTATGTGTTAAGTGCTAATGTGTTGCATATTAATACTTAGTGTCAGAAATCGTATGGTGCAAAATACATTACAATTTGGTTTCTAAATCCCAACAACAAAGGCAATTTGTTGGTAACTTCATTACTTTGAAAATTAAAATTGTTTCCTGCATTAGTGGTATAGGCTAGAGAAGTGCCCGGGTGCTTTTATGGAACCAGAAAAACTATGAGAGAATAGACCACAGACTGAAAAAGAGCA